TTGCCTGCTGGAGGCTCTGGACTGGTGGTCTGTTTACTCTTCGTTACAAAAAGAGAGATTAGCAAGTGTCAAAGGCAGGTTAGCATCAGAGACTTTGTTCCGGCTGTAATCAGGGTTAAAATGTATCTTTATGTGTTATTTAGCCTTAGGTCCTTATAGTACTTAAAGCATGTGTAAATCCTACATCTGGGGGAAGAGTTTGCCCAGGTAATTACACACATTATCTCATTTAAACCTTTGTCACCTCCAAAAAAATAGGTGTATTAGTGTAGATGAGGAAACCAAGGTTCAGAGAGGCAAAGACACTTGCCTCTAGTTGCACAGCCAGTGAGTGGTGTAGCCTAGAATCAAACCCAGATATGTTCAGCTCCTTTTGGACTTTCCTGCTGGCCTCAGGGCTGCAGTGCCAGGGGAGATAGGATGGCAAGTTGTGTGTGTGTGTGTAGCGGGGTGTCTGCTAACTATTTTTCTCCTCCGTCTTTGCCCCTCCCGGCTCTCCCCACGCTCACGGTCCTTCTCATGTCCAGCTGGGTCGCCTTTGAGCAGTCCAACTTCCGCGGGGAGATGTTCATCCTGGAGAAGGGCGAGTACCCTCGCTGGGACACGTGGTCGAGCAGCTACCGCAGTGACCGGCTCATGTCCTTCCGGCCCGTCAAGATGGTGAGCGGCCCCTGGGCTGGGGCGGGGGCTGGGGAGGCAGCGGGGTGGGGCAGGGGTGCAACCGAGGCCTGAGGGTGAGCAAGGCAAGACGGAGAGAAAGGTGGAGGAGGCAGCGTGGTGGCCTCTGGCTTGTCCAGGGACAGTGGCCTGGTCCTTGCACTTGTCAGTTCACCTGCATCCCCGAGACATGCACCCTGTACCCGCCCCGTGTTGGAACCCTGGGCAAATGACACACACAAAACCCTCCAGCTGTTAGAGCTGAAAATGTCCGCGTCTTCCTTGATTCTCTTTATAGAATGTTCCTAATCCCAGGCTGCACGTTTAGGCCCTCCTTGGGAGCTTTTAAAATCCCAGTGCCCATCGGAAACACCAAACACCCAGGTTGAAAATTGTGCAATGGCTAAGAAGAAGGATATTGTAGAAAGGCGTCTTGGATCGCTCAATAATGAGACGATATACTGAATTAGTTTCCTAGGATATTTAACTAAGACTGCCTCAAGAAGAGTCAAGGCCAAGGTAGGTGGTGATATCCCCAAGGGAGTCACAGTTTTTCCAGAATTATATTGATGGTGAGTCACGAACCAGCCACATCTTACTCATCAATGTTAGTCTCCGATGGTAACCAGCTTTTGTCTTCCATCATCAGAATATTCATGAATATTCATTTGAGGCTATCAGGTGCCAACGATCAGCTGTTCTGGCGTCACCAAATTTATCTTTTTTTTTTTTTTAGACAAAGTCTCCCTTTGTTGCCCGGGCTAGAGTGAGTGCTGTGGCATCAGCCCAGATCACAGCAACCTCAAACTCCTGGGCTCAAGC